AAAGTCGCCTAGTACTATTAATGGGGTGTTAACTGAATCAAAAATATAGGTTCTGTGACAACAATGGGTTTCTTGAAGTGCAATAATGCTCGGGTTGTCTTGCTTTATAAGCATCTGCAGTTCTGTGAAATTGTTAAAGAAACCTTTCATATTCCACTCCCTCCCTCAGTCATCGACTAACTGTCCGTGCATGCGGTTGTGTTTTTCGCGATCTATACTTGTGCCTATTGACTGCCGTTAAACAAGCAAAACATTATTGTTGTTTTTCACCACATATTTTTGCACGTGGTTCATTGACAAATTTATTCTGATTATAAGATATAATTAGAATTAATATGGTAGGAGGTGAAACCCTCTACAATAATAGGTTCAAGGACCTTGATCCTGATCCTATACCTGGTACTAAAGTTAAAAATAAAAGGAAAAGATATGCTGAAATTGGCCTTGAATTCGATGATGATCATATTCCGCGATATGTTGTTGCAAAAGCTATTGGATCAAAGCCAGACCAAAATGTTCCTCCATTATCCTCTCATAACGTTTTTCAAATTGAGAAACTACAACACATATCTAAAGAATATACTGAAGTTACTGAATTGAAATCGGGCGACTTTTTGATAAAAACAAATAACCTCAAAGCAGCACAAAAATGTATGAAGGCATCATACATTGACTTGATTCCAGTGCAAATCACATTACACACAAATCTGAACTCCTCACAAGGCAGAATATATTCAAAGAAAATTATAAATATATCCGATGAAGAGCTAACCAAATACTTAGCCGACCAAAAAGTCATATCGGTCAAAAAGATACTCAAAAAAGAAAATGATAACCTTATTCCCACAGGGGCCGCTATCATAACTTTCGACCGTATACACCGCCCTGAAAAGTTGAATATAGGATGGAAAAAAAGTGCAAGTTTATGAGTACATTCCGAATCCTTTGAGGTGCCTTACCTGTCAAAAACTTGGGCACACAAAAAAGTATTGTCGGAATATTGAAAATTGCAAAGTATGTGCCAAGCCAACTCCTCATCAGAATTGTGATCGGATTTTCTGTATAAATTGTAACGTCGATACTCACTCATCTTCCGATTCAACTTGCGAAACCTTTTTAAAGCACAAAGCTATAAACAAAATAAAAAAAGATAAAAGGTGCACAGCTAAAGAAGCTTGGAAACTGTATAACCAAAATCCCGATTTTCACAAAATATTACCATATAATCAAAAGCGAAAAACTTTTTTCCGAAATTACCAAAAACCCACCCAATCAAACAACAACAACAATCAATTCATCCGCTCATGATCTACATCCACAAAAATCAACCACAAAAAACAACAATAGAACGCAAAACAAATAGTGAATCTTGCATCAATATAAATGAGATAAATGAAAATTCGAACGTTCAACCAAATATTTTAAATAATCAAACAAAACAAATCAATGAAACAGCTGTCAACAATGCAACTTATACGGAGGAAACAAATTCCGAAATGGTTGATCTAACTTCC